TCCGAAAGTACTGGACCGATTGTTGTGAAATTTTGTACTTATATTAGGAATATCATGTAGATGGTAAAACGCTAACCAAAATTTGTCTAATCATCCCCACCACTAATGCGATGACGTCACTTCAAAATTGTAACATAGTCCTACACATGTAGTTTACGACTCCGAATTCAGTTTTTACCCGAAACGTCCAGATTTTTGGAAAAAAAATCAAAATCATAAAACAACATTTTGCAATTTAATTTTGAATCTGCTAACCCGAATGTTTTAAAATATTGCAGATGTTTTAAGGGTCTAAAGAGCATCATAAATCTTTAGTCAAAATATATTTGGTTATCCCCTCCAAAAACTTGATGACGTCAGCTCAAAAGTTTGCCGAATAAATCCTATCTAAAATGTACAAAATATGATGCGTCTGTACTTGTGATATATCACTCCATTCATATTTTTTGGATTTGCATATACAGGGTGACTCAAAAAAATTAATGAATGCGCAAAATTTATTTTACTGATTTACTCAGGAACTACAAAACCGAATGCTCTGAAATCTTGCAGATGTTTTAAGGTCATAAAGAGCATAATAAATGTTTAGTCAAAATATATTTGCTTATCCCCTCCAAAAACTTGATGACATCAGCTCGAAAATTTGCCGAATAAATCATATCTAAAATGTACAAAATATGATCAGTCTGTACTTGTGATCTATCACTCCATTCACATTTTTTTGGATTTGCATATACAGGGTGATTCAAAAAAATAAATTAAAGCGTAAATTTATTTTACTTATTTACTCAGGAACTACAAAACCGAATGCTTCGAAATCTTGAAGATATTTTAAAATTATCATAAGCATGGTAAATTTTTGATCAAAATGTATTTGGTCGTCCCCCCTAAAAAATTTATGACGTCACCACAAAATATTGCTGAATAAATCCTATCTAAAATGTACAAAATATGGTGAGTCTCTTCTTGTAATTTATCATTACATTCAAATTTTTTCGATTTGCATATACAGGGTGATTCAAAAAAATTAATGAATGCGTAAATTTATTTTATTGATTTAATCAGGAACTACAAAACCGAATGCTTTGAAATCTTGCAGATGTTTTAAGGTTATAAACAGCATAATAAATTTTTAGTCAAAATATATTTGGTTATCTTCTACAAAAAACTGATGACGTCAGCTCAAAAGTTTGCCGAATAAATCGTATCTAAAATGTACAAAATATGTACTTGTGATTTATGATTCCATTCATATTTTTGGATTTGCATATGCAGGGTGACTCAAAAAAATTAATGAATGCGTGAATTTATTTTATCGATTTAATCAGGAATTACAAAACCGAATGCTTTGAAATCTTGGGAATATTTTAAAGTTATTATAAGCATGGTAAACTTTTGTTCAAAATGTATTTGTTCATCCCTCCTAAAAAAATTGATGACGTCACCCTTAAATTTTGCTGAATAAATCCTATCTAAAATGCAAAAAATATGATGAGTTTGTACTTGTGATTTATCATTCCATTCATATTTTTTAGATTTTCTTAAGAGGTGGTTCAAAAAAATTAATGAAGTCAATTTATTTTATTGATTAAATTAAAGGCAACACTTATTAGTATTACACCCCAACCAACCCAATTTGGTAGACACAAAATTTGTTAAAGGAAAAACTCGGTTGAAACATAAGGGTAGCACGCTTATTTACATCGACTTTAACATTACAGACCTGCATTTGTTTTATGCGCTCACTTGGTTCCGCGAATGTGGAATAGACATGTTCATAATCAACCAATTGTGAATTTTACCGTCAAGAATTAAAATAAAGCTCAATGTTTTATATAATAAGCGGAAGTCGAAGCAATAAAACCGATGGTCGTTTTGTTTACAGTTTCTCTGTTTGACTCTCACGTATGCTGTTACGCTTGTCATCTTAAATTAAGAATGTTTATACATAAACGATTTTCAGTTGCCCCCCATATTACTAGACAGCGGATTTCTGTCGGGCTACGTCACGATTATAGGGGGGGACGTGCTGGATTCCATAAATATAATTAACGATATATTAATCAAACGGCTAAGTAAATGAGAACGGGAATTAACAGCAGAGTGCAACGAAACAACGTTATTCTAATCTCAAATAAACGAAGTGCAGTCCGCAACCGCAATGATTTCGCATCCCGTGCGAGCCGTACCGAGTTTGGCCTTGCCTAGCCCGACAGAAATCCGCTCTCTAGATATTACACACCGGCGCCGTATACGTGAGTAAATTATTTCGTTATTTTATTGATTATAAGAAATCAATATTCAAAACGACCCAATTCATTTTCCCGAAAATTTGGGAATACAATAATTTTATTCTTAGTATTACACTACATCTATCCCAACTGATATACGTGTCCTTGCAAAAATGTTGATGACGTCATCACAATTTTTTTTTTAATTCCCACTACAAAAATGTAATGAGAAGAAAAAACACAATTAGGCATGCAGTCGTCAAGTTTCCGACAGCGAGGGAAGTACTGTCTAAACTCTTTAGACCAATTTTTTTAAATAGCAATACCATATAATTAATTAATTTTTGAGTCGAGTTTTTATTTAATAATAATAATAATAATAATAATAATATGGATTTATTTCCAACAGACTACATTGTCTATGGTGGAAACTTAATACACTAACATTATTAAAATTGTTTCTAAAAGAACCTAACAAAATAGAAAAATATAAATGAAAAGGGAAAACAAATTAGATCACAGCAAACCTTAAATCGTATTAAAGTTGTAACAAATAGCAGTTAGTTTTGCTTTATATTTTGTGTTACTAAAATTATCATAAAATATGTCTACTTTAGGATTTATTAAACAATTACACAATCTCAAACATCTCATAAGCGGGCTATTGAAATGATGGAATGTACTAGGCACCTGATAATAAAATGTTGTAGGCGTACGACAGTTTACACGGGGGCAAATAAACTGAATATTTTGTAATATTGATGGAGAGAAAACTTTGCAACTTATTAGTTTTTGCATAAAGGTTACACAGGCTACATTTCTCCGCGCATAGAGCAAACATTCGTCAACTATATTATATAACGCTTCTGATGCAGTGTTGAGGCGGATATGAACCATACATCTTAAGATAAATAAATTTACAAAATTTTCGCAACACATTTTCAATAAGATTAATATAAATTTTATAATGTGGTGCCCAATTTCTAAATTCATTGGTATAGCACAATCATACTTTGTTTTTTATTGAAATGGAAAAATGAATTATATTCACCTAGTGAAATGTAGGTAATCTAAGAATTTCATGACCACTCTCTTTCGACGTCTCGTCTACCAAATAACGCTTTTGTGTATTTGTCCTAAAAGGTTTCATTAATTCCCACTATTCTCTTTTCGAAAATTTGTGTTCAAATTCAATACTATGTGTAAGCAGACATTCTCACATTTGACTCTTTTTTCTAGAAAATGTTGGTGGCTGGTCCAACTACACTAAATGAAATGGTGCGTTGTACAAAAATAAAAAGTTAAAATCATCTAAATCCTAAATTGACTTGCTGCGTGTAGAATTGTAAATCTTGATCCTTCACTTTTAATTTTGGTTAGGTTACTTTTTAAATCTCATATGTGCACCCAACGACGAAATTTACCACTTTGGTAAATCCAAGTCGAGGTGCACGAATGTTAAATGCTCTCAAGAATTTTGAAACCGGAGAAATTTTCTCAAAAAAGTAATTTTTGCTTCAACACCATGTTTTTGTTCACACAAAATTTGGCGACCGTTTACCTTCTTTGACTTGAAAATTTTGTGCAAGGTTGTTTTAAACTCCCCCCCCCCCTTTAATTAATTTGTTTGTTGTGTTCCCAAAATAGTCGTTGCAGGTCTTTTCTAAATACATAATTTGAAAAAGTGTCAGTGGGTTTTCGCTTGCCAGAAGACGAAGTTTTCAAATTTTCGTCTTTAGTGACGACAATTTCCTCTGCAGTTGCACGACTGACCTATCAAATGTTTTTAATTAACAAATATTTAAAAACTTTAAAAAAGTCACAGGAAATATGGGAAGTATGTTCACCATTCTCATCATTAACTCTTCACGCTTTAGTTGGGGATTATTTTCTTTCATTTGCAAATAGCACCTTTTTATTGAAATTTGTTGTTGTAACAAAACAATTTTCGGCATTTTAAATTTTAATGACACAAGTCAGAAATGTCGCAACTTGAAAATATGATTTTTAAATAACAATAAATGTGGCAAATCGGCCTTAAGCGACCGTCAGTCTCACGCAATGACGGACAAACCGTTTTGTGAATGAATCAGTTTATCCAACGTGAAAAAAAAAGTATTGCAGACTTTTATCTAAAAACATCCTCATCGGTTTATACGTATAATATTACACTTATTTCATATTTTTATTACTTCCTGCTGCTTATATTTCAGTCTGTATTTATGTGAAAGTTATAGTTTCTCTCGTAAGTAAAAATAATGTAAGTAATATTTATCTATAATACGGAGAATGTCTGGCGTAGTGAGTAGTATTGAAACATTTAGGTTTCTTTTATTTATGAACAGACGCAACCACATAAATTTGGCAGTTTGAGTCAAAATATTTACAACGTCTTGCGCAAAGGTCGATATAAAGTCATTTAATAGCCTTAATTCATGTATAATTCCCGGTACTGTTTGTTACCTTAGTACTTCGACAACCAAAAATTAGTACCTACTATGTAAAAATACTATATAGCACATACACAAAGAATGGTTTCTATGCAAATAAATATTGTCTTGTTTTACATTGATACTCGTAAATGCCCCCCTTCCCCCTTTCTCCCAAAATTCTAAGATATAACAATGTTGGCGATCCTATCCGAAATCCACCTCCAAGGTGAACAACACTCCACCAGTTGGCATATTCTCGTGTCTTGCGTTTAATGTCGCCTTATTATTATTATACAACATGGACCCCTCTATTCCTGCTGACACTATTTCCTCATCAATGAGCAGGTGTGAAGGCAGCCGTTTCATTTCTTACCGGGTCACTTCACATTCAACAACCAGTCGGAAAGAGCAAAACGCAAAAACAACAGGTGAACGCACTGTTGCAAGCCTGAAAAAAGTGACTCTACAATCTAACGTCGATCTACACGCACGAATTCAGCTGCCGCCCATCGGCCCATCCCTGCTGAAATTTAATGTTTGCTCCACCACTCCACCATGTGACCTTGTACGTTTGACCAGCAGAGAACTAGTACGCTCTTGTGGTGTTCTCGAGAACCAGGAAGCGCGCAGTGTGTTGTTTTCTGCGAAGAAAACCCTACGGAATGTCGCCGAAGACGCCGCAAGTGTTGCTTTTCTTGGCTGCCTTTTTGGGAGTATTTCAGCTGGGTAAGGTGTTATATTTTAAGTAAGTTTTTCTTGAGTTGCGTAACCGCGAAACCAGTTTTTGTTTATATAATCAAATAACAAACCCACGCCATTTTTAAAACGCCATTTTGGCGGCAAGCTGTAAGTTTGTCAATTTTCAAGGACTTTCGCTGAAATGCTACAAGTGTAATGGGTGCGAAACAGCGTCTACTTTGAAGGAAACATGTCGGGATGTGGATCCACAGACCGAGCAGAGCGGGTGTATGACGCAGGTAGTCCGAAGTAAGTATTCAGCACTTTTCAATAAATTTAACTAAAAACTAAGCTTGATTTTGTACTTGTTTAAGCTGGAGGCACTGCTGGAAGTCTGACGGTAAAAAAATGTGCAGTTTATGGTAAAGACGACAGATTCGAATGTCCAGTGCTTCCAAGTGGAGACACAGTTGCTTGCAGTATGTGTCATGAAGATTTTTGTAATTCTGGAACCAAGATCGCGACGAATTTTTATCTATATTTGAGCATATTTGTTATGTTGCTTGTACCACGATTTTTTAATTTATAAAAATGATCTTGTGTGCCTGGATATTTTGGTGTTAAACTTTTCATATTTTAATTTTATTTTTTGTAAATAAAATTTGTTATTTAGTTGCCACCGTTTCTCTTTTATTTGCAACAATTATGAATCATTTCATGTAACAATATTAAAGGTGATTAGGCAAAGGTCGAGTTCGAGGTGTAAGGAGTTAACGAACAAGTTTGTGATTTACGTCAGTACGTTTAGAGTGGTCACCTGCAACACAATATACGAACGCTAGAACAAATTGCATACATTATTGCCGACTAGAAAATTTGCCAATACTAAATAAAATTAAATAACACACAGAAGTTAATTAATTTTCGTCAAAACAAAACATAAAATTTATAAAATAAATAGGTAGTTATTTAGAAACATAGTCACCAACAGTAAAACAGTTTTTATGATAAATTAAGATCTTTCTAAATAATGAATACTTAAATAATTGCAGCTACTTTATGTTAGGACCATGAACAGTTAAAATTTTTAAGGTGAACTGTGAATTTATAAACACTAAAACAAGAAAATCGCTTATTAACTGATTTTAAACTAATAACACTCGCTGAAGAGGGACTGTGGCGTGGAATGCCATGCATTTTTGTTTAAACAATTGCCGTCTTGTAAAATTACAAAGTAAATTAGATGTTTTAACACATGTTTTTACTCACAAAACTAATCAAGAAGTGACATTTTTAAAGACCACCTGTGTTAACAACCCCTAAACTACCAACCTAACAAAGAAAAAACATGGGTGATTGTCTACGTTACTGAAATGATTTTTTTCAAAAATTTAATACAATGGCTTCTGAAATTTACATCGGAAAACCGTCCATTCAGAGTCCAGATAAATATACCTCTATTGTCAACACTTTTCATCAGAGACAATAAATGTTCTTGAATACAGGACAGGACAGGAACACAATATTTTCAACGTTTATCGTATTCTTTTTAAAATAATAATTAACTTTGCAAGGTTAGGTACTTTATTTTAAGTTATTATAAATTTTGCTGCATTACAGTCTGAAACAAATGCGCAGCAAATAATGTCATTATCGGTTACAGCAGCATTAAATAGTTACTTACGTAACAAGGCACGAAAGTGAGCTATTACAACACATGACAAGGAAATTTTGAAGTATGGCACACTGGACAAGCCGAATGCTCTAAAACTCCGAGACAACTAAGGACATTTTCATCTTTATTGTATGTTCTTTTTCTGAAATAGTGGATTTTTGTAGTTGATATAGGAGTTTAAAGGTAAGCATTTATTACTTTAGCTTCGTTAAAAATCACGTTATTTTCGTCAGGATGAAGCAATGATTTTCCTTAGTAACAAAATGCTAATACGAGTATTTAACTGCATCCTGTGGTCTCTAAAATAAAATAAACAGAGATGAGAACATAAACTATTGTTGAAAACTATTTTTCGTGACATTATATGTCATTCGCCGTAATTTTAGTAATAACAGTAATGAACGGCGAAGTAAGCAAACAGATCTGGAAACCTTCGATTGGACATTCGCCGCCTAAAGAAACTAAAGAAACTAAAGGAATTACGGGGGATGTTCTTCTGCTTTACTTTATCAAAACTGAAAAGAAATCAAATATGTTCCAAAGGATCAAAATCCATCAATTTTTCAAATAGGCTCTAAAAGATAATTCAAGAACTTTTGTACTTTTTAAATCATTGTTGTAATGAAGTGACTACAGTATCTAACCTGACATAGTAACTTTTGACGTATTTAAAGGGGTTGTAGAAAAAACGTGGAGGATTTAAGTTGATTACGACATAAATTTACAATTTTAGACATGTTTTAAGGTTTTTTGTCGAAATATGTCTAGACATGTTAAGAAAAAAGGCAAAATGTATACCCCGCCCACCCGCCCCATCTCAATTGTGGTGATTAACTGCAAAATCCTTACTTCTGTACGAGAAATTAAAAACATGTTCTTGGGTATCGTATTGTTCAAAGAATACTGTGTGTGTTAAGAAAAAATTAAAGCCAAAGATTAAGTCCCACCCATACCTGCCCTAATATAAATAGTAATGAATTTTTCATTCGTTGACAGACTACTTGGGGGAGGAGCCTAATTGCAAAATCCATATTTTCTTACAAAAATGTACCTCCCATTTTAAATGTGTTTGAAGTTTCTAATAATAAAAAAAAAACATTTTGCCTTTTTGTTTTAATACGTGTAGACTTCTTTTTACAACATGAAACTTAAAACATGTTTAAAATGGAAAATTTGTATAAGGAAATATCGATTTGCAATTAGGGTCCGCCCCATAATTGCAAAATCCATATTTCCTTGCAAAAATATACTATTTTAACCACGTTCTAAGTTTTTTGTTGTGAAAAATGGCTATGTATATTAAGAAAAAAAAAATTACAAAATTTAGGCCCCACTATATGAATTCTGATGATTTTTTTTATTCGTTGTAAGCAGAGGGGCGGAGCTTAATTGTAAAATCCTTATTTTTCTACGAGAAATTACCATGTGAAACTCGTTCTTAAGTAAGCTTAAGTGGCAGCACTGCACACTACCGCAATTTGATTGGTTGGAAACCCAACGTCAACGGCAACGTAAGGACGAAAGTTAAAATTTGGTCATCTCGAACGTCACCTCTACGGCGTGCCAACTTTGAACGGCAACGTCGACGGATGATATAAACGACGCATACTTTCCTTGCGTATGTATCTTACAAGGGCAACGTCAACGGCGAACAGCAATGTCAGCGACAAGTTTATAAATCGACCTTTAGGTTCAAGTGGCACACACTCAACGTCCTCAAAAAATTCATGTTTGGGTGGGAATAATAAACAGAATATTCATTGGCCCCTACTTTTTTCGAGGAAATTTAACAGCATATCGATATTTAGATCTTCCGGTTCCAGATAATCCACAAAAGTTAGATCGCAGGATTTAGTTCCAGCAGGATGGGGCACCACCACATTATGACGTAAATGTAAGGGTTTTTTTGGATAATCAATTTGATGGAAGGTGGATTAGATAGAATGGCCACCTACGGCTCCGGATCTGACATCCCTTGATTTTCTTTTATGGGGACATTTAAAAAGTCGCGTTTATATGAACAGACTCGATGAATAATTAGACGACTTGAAAGCACGAATTCGTCATGAAATGACCCGTATAAGTTCCCAGAGTACTGAAAATCCCTCAGTCAGGCCTACGTCTAGGTTTGTGTCAGATAGTAAATGGGGAACAGTTTGAACAATTTCTATGGCATCAATTTTTACTCCAACGAATTGTTCTTTATTTAATATTTATTATTAAAATCAAGTTTATTTTGTTTGTTATTAATTTTCTCATTTTTTTTTTGTTGTGCAACCCCTACATCAAACTACATTTTCATATGCAGAAAAATAAACTTTATCAAATAATGCAATCAAAATTATACCGTCTTATTAAAAAAAAAAACATTTATGACGTCATAACTTTTACAAATTTGACGTACAATTTTTTTGACGTATGTCAAAAGATAGAGACTAAAATAAAAAACTTGACATGTTTTTGCATTTTTTTCAAAAACAAATGCTGCACTTGTTATTAATTTGAGGCATTACTTTATCATACCCCTGTATGTTCTGAATAAATTTCACTTAGGCACATCAGAAAATTAACAGTTTTTAACGATAACCCACGGCATTATTAAAAAGTGTATACATATATACATACTAGGTTCTATGTGTTTTTAAACGAAAGAACATCTTGATGCAAATTGGATTTTTTAACCACATGTTTACATCTTGTAATCGTTTTTTTATTTTGAGACAGATTTGGCCCTTGTTTTGAGGAAGTCCCAACATATAAATGTAGTCTATGAAGCATCTTGTGTTTAGTTTTAGTTTTTCTCGGAATGCCTACAACAGCGTTTTTCTCACGTGTTATATCCGTTGACTGAATATCATAAGAACTGCTCAAGTATTGACTGAAGCCACTTTTCCATTGACCTTTAATTAAATATTTATATGGAGAGGTAGAGAAGCTTTAGGTCAAATAATAATTCGATAGTGAAAGCATGAAAATACTTTTCCTAAATCTTGTTGTCAGAATTTTCCAGTGAAAAATTTAATTTAAAGATGAGCATGCTGTTAATGAAGTTACCTATCTTTAGGAGTTAAATTCCACACAAGGTCTTTGAAATATGGAAAAGAACAAATCAGGACAACGAATCGACACAATATTTTAATCCATATGTGATACACAATTTCTATTCAGTGACTAAGTATTGTTAGAACGCTTCTGTGGTAAAGTTATAAAAAATGCATTAATAAAAACTTATTATTAGATTTGTTTGACCATGTATTTTTAAGCTTTTTGTAAATTAGTGTTTGTAAATAGAGAAATTTGCAATTACGGTCTCGAGTTTCTCGATTATCGCTGATTAAGTGATGAAAACGATGCTTGTGACAACGTTGGCGTACCGTAATAGATATGCCTTGAATAAAATAGTGGCTGTGGTTTCACGGCTGTTATACGAAAAAATCAAATCAATATCGATGTTTTAATTATTGTTATTAAAGTGTTTAAAACCACCTCTATATTAAACTATTTCTTTGTAAACTAAACACTACGATCAAAGTAGGTTTTAAAACTAACCACTGAAAAAAAATTGCCAACTTCCTAGCTGCTTTATTAACTGAGCATAATATTGTTATCTGTAAATTTGATCAACTTTTTCAACAGGGTCCATCTGGGGAATGACTACTTTCATGTTTTCTCGACGTTTCCTGAGCCATAGAGCACGTCTGTCTGCCGACTGCCGTCTGTCGTCAACAACCATTTTTTACGAAAAATTTACAAGAAATAATAATTGCAGAGAATTGAAAGACTTTTTCAGAACCACTCTTTATTCAATTCAAATATTACCTACAGAATAAAACTCCAAGATTGCAAGCTTAATTCCACATTTATTTCTAATTTACTAACAACGATAGTCCCGTTTTGGAATATTATATAATTAAAGAAGACAAAAATTTTACTGATAACGGAGTAACACACTGGATTTATTTCCGAAAAGTCTAGGCAATATTTACTGCCTTCTATCCTGAAACGTCATAACTAGCAACAGGAACATTAGCCTCTTTGTTGAATTACATTTTTAACTAGCAGTTTCAAATAAATCTATAATAAATTTCGCTCAACTAAAGCGAAGCACAATTAATTATACTGTTACGAAATAAACCCACACTCCGCCCCGGTACGATGCCTATGGGTTCTAATGGATGACTCATCGTCGGTGACAGCGGCCGGGCGGCTTTCGCTAAAAAAAGCCTGGAAACGGAAGTCGCGATGGGTGTTCCAGAAAGGCCTCGACTACAGAACGTCTAGAAGCAAAGTATGGGTTTAAATACAGGTCACCTTCGGGAACGACTCTCAGCCAACGAGTGAGGTCCAGACAATGGGAGAAGTAGAGTCTAGTCAAATCCATTCCAGTCGGAATTATTCTGTACTTAATCGCTGGCTAATTAGTCGTGTAAATTTGAGTTATTGAGAAATAAATTGTTGAGTTGTACTCACGCCGATTTTAAACACCCGTACAACGTAACAATACAAATCCAGTTTCTGAGATAAATTGTTCATTATCCTGAGTTTATTCTTTTATAATGACGCCTATAGGTGAAAACGAAAAGTAATACGGCGTTTTAAAAAATTTTGCACAATTAGCTAAAGTCTGTATAAACATTAATGAACAACAACGAATAACATTTTGCACATATTAGGATTTATTTGGCAAACTTTTGAGACAAAGTAATCAAATTACCTTAAAAGGCTTGCATTAGATCTGGTTTCGTTCTATCTGAAATACATATGGAACATCATCGCGATTTTAGGAGTTGCATTTTAAAAATTAAAATATATCACTTAAAAAAATATATATACTTCAATTTGACAAACTTGACTCCATGGAATCTCGTAATTTACTCTCACAACTAGTGTGCAGTTTTTAATAAAAAAAATATATAAACTTGACCAATTTTTAGACCACTTTAAACAGACACGTTCACGTTCATGCAATTGTTTGCGTTGTGAGACAGGAGGTACCCTGAAGAAAAGTGTCAGTTTTCTTTTAATACCATTTATAAGCTTACAAAATCCGTAACTGCGTTTAACAACTCCAGAAACCTTGTTCTGAAACTAAATCGTGGAACTTGTCGACCACCAGTTTCGTACGATTTCGGGTGATTATATAGTGTAGCAACTGCCCATCAGAGGGCGCTGATTAACATTCAAATATTTTTTAATAGAAGATATCGATATCAGTATTTTCAGTTACAACACCGTTTCATTGGTGCCGGTTTCAAGTTTCACTCAAAAACATGATCAAAAATTTTAGCACGTCAATCCCTGTCGCCAGCGTTAAAAAGACGCCGTATATTAATACACAATACATAGTATAAAAAAATATATTAAAGCTATTTAGACAAATATTCTCCGTTCTTGAAGCACTAATAATAATAGATCTGTTTAACACTAATTATTTTTAATTCTCTGTAAATAAAAAACCTGTATATTGCACGACTAATAATTTTTTAAATTAATATAAAGCTATTTAGTTCAGGTCATTGATCATAATCATTTCAGTTATTGCAATAAATTAATGCTTGTTATTATTTTTATGAAATAGGTTTTAATTAGATTTGTGCGCAATAATAAACTTGATAACTTGTGGTTAAACAATTCAACTCATTAGACAAAAATTTTATGATTGTTCAGTATAAAAATGACTTAATTATTTATGTCATCAAATGGATAGAAGTCCATACTTTTTCTTTTATGGTATTTCTCCGCGATTTATTGTTTTCTCTTAATTTTGAATAAACACAAATTAAACAAAGAGTCACTTCAAACTACAATATATTGAAAAAGATTTAAAAAAAGTGCAGAATGTAGTAGAAAATTCTGAACTTCAAATTCGCTTTCTGTTAATTTATAGAAATTATTTTTATAATATTTTTACTCGCCAACGTAAAATTACCTCGGATTTACAAAATAACTGACATTTTATACAGTTTAGTTTATGGTTTAGAATTCAAAATAGAGTTTAGGTATAGGTACCTTAATTACAAGAATTAAAAAAAAATACTGGTTCATATTCACTTCATCTTCTTATTTTTAGTAAACCTAAAATGCATATTTGTGCAGTTGTTCACTGTTGGAATATTTAATTAATTTATAATTAATCATGTTAATATTGAGTGAATTATTGCCACTAAGCGTACGCTCCTCGATATTTCATTAATTCTAGTTCTTGTTACTATATAAGTATATTTTAAAATTATTTTCAACTATGCACAGTGTAATATCTTATTAGGGGATTGGGAAAAAAATGTTTTCTCCCCTCACTCATTAGAAGCTAATAAATACACTGAGCTCAATAACAAACAACAAAACGAAAATCTACAAATTTTATATAAAAAGTAATAATTTACAGAAATGGAGATAAATTGAGAACATTATGTCTTTTTGAAAACATACGTGTTGTATTTCTTTTTTTTAATAATAATAATATGTGTTCTCATTTTCAACAGTTTAAGTTTGGAAACAGGACGGATTGCAAAATATAGCAAAACTTATTTCCCTAGAGTATGAATGAGAAATCTGTAGAATAGCTCGACCTTTACCAACATTTTCAGTAACTCACCACCAGGGGACAGCGCTTCTCGGACCTTTAGAATGGAGTTTCCCAAAGTGCTAAAATTGGAGCACGGAACGCCCCCCTTAAGGCGTCTAAAGTAAATAACAATAATAATCCTTTATTGCTCAACATGAGAAACCCCAATAATAGGACAAAATAAAAACATAAACCAAGTACATTCTTTACACTCATTCTTTAAAAATAAGAGTTGACGAATAAAAAAAGTATAGAACCAAATTTATTTGATAAAATTTAAATTGAATTTATCAAGCAAAATTATAATAAAAGGAAAACGAAGAACTCTTTTAAAAGTGTCTTAAATGTCTAGAACTTTTTTTGACAAATAGAGAAAAATTATTATGTTTTATTGCAAATTTCAGTTCACACTACAAAAACAGTAAATAATACTTAGTAATTAATAATTAATAAATTTTAAAACTTTGAATGCTTAATAAACTGTGTTACTTGTATTTACGCTTTTAACCAGTTTCATTCTTCACTAATGAGTAATCAGTGTTTCAGTATTATTCTATTGTTATTTCACACAAATGGTTACACCTTAAGATAATCGAAACATAAATAATATGAAGGATAAGTTTAAACAGATGTAACAAATACTTACTTGTACAAATTTTCCATAATTACTTGTTAATTTCTCGGTTGTTGACAGAATAAGGAAAAAGATAACTTTTCAACCTTATAATCTATAAAACGGTTTTTGTCAATATTTTAATCGAGTTTTTTGCATGTATACTTGTGTATCTTCTTGCAAAATCTTATTACTCACATGCAAAATTTATTAAAGAGCGGATTTAATTCTCTTTTCAAGAACTATTAGAAAAATGTTTTTTTCTCTCTACGAATTATTAGTTCTCACAAATTTATTAAACATTTTTGTCATTTAAGTGAATTTATATCTTATGCTGTGTGTAATTTTCCAGTCTTGGGAAACGAGAAATTAATTACCTTATTATATTCACTGATAAAATGATTTTGCTTATTAATTTCGACTAGGCAAAAATTATCCTTTGTGTGCGTAATTAAATGAAAAAAGTGGCGAATGGGTTTTATTTGTTTCAGTTATAAAAATTAAAAGTTATTTCAAACTGGAACATATAGTTACAAAAATCGATAACTTTTATTTCCATGTTTGTTTTAACATATTCCCATGCTAAATTGTTGCTTAGGCTTTTTCACTTATTTATTGACCTTCGTATGAATAACACAACTAATTAGAAAAATTATTCAAGAAATTGCGGAAAATGATTCATGTCGTTAAAACTTTGTAGAGGAGAACTTCAGAATATGGATCAAATGAGCTTCTAATGAGATATGTGAATGCTTTTTTTTAATATCGATATTTTCCCATGCAAATTAATTCCGGGAGAGTGGGAAGGTCTTATTCAGATGACTTTTTTGGATCAACTGTAAATAAATAATTATTATGTTAACAGAAATGTATTTTTAAATTTGAAAACTTAATTGTTCTTTTTTTTAACCCTATACATATATATGTAAAACTTTCGGAAATGTTTCTAATCCATATGATAAAATATGAATAAGATTTAGATTTAAAGATCCCACACCATCCAGCCTTGAAACAGTTACCTCCTCTTAAAATAATCCCAAGCCGTCTCTGAAGAATCATCAGACAGACTAGTTAATCTAAAGGTCAATTATTTAATCAGCAATTACGAGTAGTAAAGTCAACTGAATTAACCCACAATTTATATACCGAACACAACAATTAAAAGATAATGTAATTAACGCAGGGAAAGCGTGAAGAATCTGGATTTAATGGCAAGTTAAGAATTCGACAAATTTAATAACGCTCCATCACCCCCATGCCCAGTATGTAAATGTCCCCTTAAGGCCTAAATTGACCCTAAAAAATGAAATTTCAGCTAGAAGGACGCGGCATGATTTATGACACGTGTTCTCGCGTCGTATTGTATCGCATTAGTACGTGTATGGCATTGTTCCATATTTACCCAAAAAAATGAAAACCGCAAACAATCGGGGCCACGCAAAATCAGATACAAAAACGTGCGAAAAACCCATTCGAAAAACAAAATGGAATAATCCGAAGGTAAATGCGCGTTTTCATATATCAGGACGAAAACCGACATGCTTTTCGCATCATCAATTCATCACCGATGAATCAAACATCATTGTGACATTGCGGAGTCAGAAAAAACGTGACAAAAGAGTAACCGCGGGGGGCGGGGTCCTATTTCCGTCATTTCTTGTAAATAGTGAAATCATTTCCACGTCGGTTTATGGCTTTTAATAAAATTCTCCCACGTCTTGTCGAATTTTCATTACTCTCTACACGAACCGTCACGATCTACCAGCATAATAATCCGGCTCTGATCCAAGGTAGGGAGGGGCAGGCCAGCGCAGGGGGGTCCCTTAAAACCCGCCAACAGAATCGACTTTCGAATATTTGTAGAGTGCCTTCTGACTTGTACGCAACTAAAAATTCGCCAAGTGTGCGGTTCAGTGACGCGATGGCCAATTTTGGATTATTTTTGACCCTCTTGCTAGCCTACGTCCAACAGGGTGAGTGCTTGTATAGGTGTGCCGCAGGGATCCACCTCGGGACCTATGTTTTTTCCACAAATAGCGCGTTTGATGGGGTCGGCGAGACGGCATTGTCGTTTAATTATTACCCGCCCTTATGTCTCGTCGTAGCAATCTAGGTAATCAGGGGACATTATATGCGCAATTAAAATAAATAACGATTTAATTCAAGGTTTGCTACGTATTATTACCTACAGTAATTTTAATTGTGTTTGAAAAAGTCGTGCAGCAGATTCTAGAACTGACGAATAAGTTTTAAAAAATATTTAACTCTTCGTGTTAGTACCACAAGCGCGTACGCACTGGAACCGTAAAAACAGGATGTCTTGCATTTTAAACGTGTGAATCGTGTTATTCATGTTTATAAACAACAGGTTACGTAAGACGCCATTGAAATAACAATATAAAAAAAGATAAAACGAGTGTTGGTGTCTCTGTCGTTGAATTCCTATAATTAGCTGTAGGTGTGGACCGGTAAACAATTTTCTGTCTTTTTCCAGGACCAGGTTCTGCCGAATTAATGAATTTGCTTTTAACGGACAACTATGATTTAAAATCTTGTCTGGGTTTTGTAAACATTTGTATGGTATTACAAAGTTAACGATTTCTCATTTCCAGTTAGAAATTTTAAGCGATGAATACCTGAATCGTTGTATCATACCAGATTTTAAACTGTGATGCCTCGGACATTTAAAAGCACGAGTATTACGTTTCATTTAACAACAACAGGATTTTTCGAACGTTTTTTGTACAGCTGAACTTTTACTATCAACCTATTTTTCTAAAAATAATAATTACAACCCCATTATTGCCATGACTCATCTTAAGTAATATGAAAATAGTTTATTTTTTAACAAAAGTTTCGCAAGATGATGAGCTTTTTTTAGACGCGTAACTCGCGTTGTGTACACATATATTCATTAAACATACTAGGTTTCAAACATTTTTATGTTAAGTAGTTCTTTAGGTGTACTTGTTGTCAAACGTAAACAATACAAGGTGCGGTGCCGAATACACATTTAAATTCCATTGGTTAAAATTGTATGTACTCAGTGGTATGCTTTACCATAAGATATAAACGTAGCGTCAGTTTTAAAAACAAAATCTTGTAACAATATTTCAAGGAAATGGTAAAATTACGTAACTGATTGACGGCATCGATGGTTAGATGACAAATTGATAATACTGAGGAAGTTGATTTATAAATACAAATTTATAATGTTCTAACTTTAGCGTCTTAATGAAAAGCTAATGTTAGAATGATGTAATCGTGACAGTCTGCATACACACAAAAACAAAATCCCTAAAATTATGGTGTCAAAAATGACGTTATTTTACAATAATATTTTTAAGACGTTTCGAGTATGTTTGTTTTTATAGGGTTCTGTTGAAAGCACTAGAGTTCTCATTTTTTGATCTAATTCAATTTAGCATCCTTAATCGAGGTAAAACCATGATTGAAGTGAGGTACATTTATTAAACATTCAAGTAAATACTATCCCATTTTTTACTGAAAGATGATTAATAGCAGTTGATTGTGAATCATAACTGCGACATGACTACACAGTTGTTTGAGCTATAAAACTGTAATTACGTTTAATTGCATGTGCCTGTAAAAACAGTGAAAAAAATCTGTATTTTTTTTGGGAAAACCCGAGTTAATAAAGTTAAAAAAAAAGATAGACATTTGGTGAAGATCTATTTTTTTTTTTGAGAAAATAAATGAGCAAATTATGGCTATTTTTTTGTATCTTCCGGCGTATTAACGTATACTTAAAATTTCAGAGAAGTCGGTTTGATAGTTTTGCAGATTGTTCACACAGTCCAAAAATTTTTTTATAGGAACTACATTTGCATCTTCTATAGCTATATGTATTGTGTTTGTTATTTATTTATTCATAAACCTCATTAGGTACTCATTAGTCAATACACGTTCAAATCTCTTTAATAATAAGTGTGATTAACTTAATTGTATATCTACATTACGAGTCACTCGAAACAATCATGTGTACATACATAACAAGATCGCAAAATTATATTTTGTCGTCATGCAGAGTGCTATAGATAATCTGTTAAAAACGAAAAATACACACACCATTTTTTCTAGAACATATGAAAAACAGTCTAAACTATAATAAAAAATTATTATTTTTACTAGTATACTTAGTCATTTAAATTTGTAAAATTTATTTTGCCTTTATTTTTTTATTATGTTACTTTTCGAAAGGCAAATAAACGTCTAGCACAGGAACTATTCGACGAATTGTGAATCAGTTAAATTAATTCTGTTATTAGTTATGTAGCCCTAATTCATAATTTCAGAATTTAGATATACAGAGTGAGTCACTAAGCGTGGGGTCGTCCTCAATATCTCATTAATTACTATTAGAGATGGAAAAAAGCCACGGAGTCAAGTTGTATAGCTCTTTGAGTAACATACATTTTCGATTATACAGAGTGTTTTGTTTTAGAGTCGTAACACACAACTTTTTTTTAAATAAAGTAGCTTGTGTATTTTTACATATTCTTATTAACCTCTCCTAGACTTTATGACCATTGTTTTTTTTTTAATTTCGACGCAACGTTGTCACGTTACTTCAATATTTTTGAATTTTTTATTAGGTTGCGCACTTTGTTGTGAAATCAATTAAATCAAATTTTTTCAAGTAGAACACCTTGCATTTTATTACTGCATCTTTCTCTATTTTTTGTTCTCTTTCTTTCAGTAAAAAAGTAAAAAATTTGCTAACTTTAAAGGTAAAAAATACTTAACACAAAAAAAGAGAACAAGAAACAGAACATGGAGTAATATTTTTCTAAACACTCTGTATATTAAAACCCAGTTTTACTTACCATAATACACTCTCCACAGAATATTGTAACCACATTTTAAAAATAATCCTATTGTGATTTTTCCATGTACTCTTCCATTGCTGAAAAATTTCTAGGAAATTGGAATAACTTGGCAACGTCGCACCGACATTTCGAAAATGAATTATGGTTATAAAGCCTAAGAAAAAGTCTAATCATTTGTTGTTTTTCTTTAGATATGCCGGAGTATCTCTTAAAAAAGTGAAAAATTGCAGAAACTATCAACTTTAGATACACAAAATACTTAAAAAAAGAAAGAGAATAAAAGAACAATATACGGTAATAAAATATGGATATATTTTAATGTTTTAGAATTTAATTTAAACCACAAGGTGTGTACCTACATTTATTGCTTCACAAAATATTGTAACGGAGATTTTAAAAATGACTTAGTGTCAGTTTTTTCCCAGGGTGATGAAAAAATGACGCATGTGCTTGATGGTAAGTTGTTAAGAAGGCTTTGAAGAACGTGAGAAAAATAGTTAAAAAAATCCTGCACCAAACATTTGAAAATATTGAACGTCAAAGCTGAAGAATTAACTTCGTAATTCTGATTTTTTTGAATGAACTGCATTTTCTAATAAACAGTAAACAATTTTTTATTCATAATTTAATACTAATTTGTTAAAATTTTTATCGGAATTTTAGGTTTTCAATTAAATTCACATTATAACATTTCAGAATTACGAAGTTAATTCTTCAGTTTTGAAGATAGATTTGTTAACCAGTTTTTCGAGTTCTGCAGAACCTTCCTAACAACGTTTTATTGACCAAATACGTCATTTTTTCATCATCTTGTGTGTTCTATTTAAAAAACTAGGTTGTTTGTTATGTCTCAAAAACAGAACACTCTGTATAACTGATAAAAATGTTATTGCATGCTACTCAAAAATCGCGGAAATAGGTTTCGTTACATTTTAAAACACAATTTTTTTGCGTATGTCAAAAATCTGAGCCCAGTGACTTTTTTTCAAACGACGACACCTTTTTTGACTGACAGTTAAGCTTAAAATTTGCGACATTAGCTAAAAAATTCTCTGCTTAGATTATCGTTTGTGGACATTTTCGAGAATTTTAATTCCGACTTTCAAGGTTGTGATGTATATTAACACAATTTTAAAAGAAAGAATAAGATAATCGTGCGAAATTCACAGGAAAGCAAAATTTATCTTGATTTGTCTATGTGTTTTTTTATGTGTATTGAAGAATAAAGTTACCATGAAGAAAATCACAGCAACTTAAAAAACTGGAATTTATTTATAAAATGAGGGTCATCGTATTAAAAACAGATTTATCTTTCGTAGCGACTTTGTCTATTTTTATTGTACTACTTTTCTTTACGAAATTTCTTTTTTATTGCGCCCTTGAAAACGATTTTAATCAACGTCACTCATAAAAATTAAAAATGTAATTATTAATGATATACATTTTAAGGATATTAATTATACGTATTTATTGCTATTACTACACAGTGATTACCTCGAGTTTTAAAATTTTCGCTGTAATACACAATTACAATCTGCAACTAACCTGAGATCTAGTTTTCAAAAGACTATTTCATTTAGAAATCGTCGTGAAAGGAATAACAAATTCACATAATTGAACAAGACTTTTTTATTTAACTTCTTTATTCATTAATGTCAGCACTAGCTAATTAAGAAGTAACTTGCGTTTAATTGTTCGTTAAAAACATAATATGTCAAAAGAAAAACTGGAACTACTTTCACACTTAACGAGGTGAAACTTTTCCAAAGAACCAGCTATTTTCTTTAAAAAATAACAAAGTTGGTGGCCTCTACTTCACCTAAGTCAGCATTTGCGAGAAAAAAAGGTTATCTATCGACCGAGTAATAAGCAGTCACATTTTAATAATTGCTCGCTACCAACTTATTTCCGAACTTCGTACCAAAAGAAAGTAAATTTTTCTAAAGTGTGTTAGTGTTACAATATAAACACAAACGACTTTTTACAATTCGTTTAAACCGAAAATTGACCTCATTCTCCAATTTTTATTTTTCTAGTCTCTAATCTTTTTCGTTTCTTCTTCGTAGGATGGGCCCTACGTTGTTGGTCATGCTCGTCCGACCTGGACAGTACCTGCATGGATCCCTTCAATGCAACAAAACTCATCACCCAGCGCCAGTATTTCCAACAAACTAACTACAACAACCAGTATCAAAGAAACGACATGCCCATCTTGAGAGAGTGTACCAACGATCTGGGTCAAATCTACAACCAAAAGCAAATGTGCGTCAAGAGAGTTATTAATGGTAAGTGAAAGACGACGTTGTTTGTACAAGGTAACATTTTCCTTTTTCCCATCAAGTGCCATATGGCAAGAAAATCGTCTCCAGGGAGTGCAAAGCGGTGTCCACCAACCAGGCCGCCGGCACCTGCCCCGATAGAAGCAACAACGTCGAATTTTGCGAGTACTGCGAGTACGATGGGTGTAACGGAGCCACCGGAATGAAAGCTAACGTTTTGGGAGCTTTGGCAGTACCTGGCGTTTTGCTGCTGTTCCTTCGCAGATAATCGCGTGCTTAATAGATGTTAATTAGATGTAGAGGTCTATGTACAAAGTAATTTTCACTGTTGAGTAGGTACAGGAAAAGCGGTGTCCACCCAAAGGTGCCTTTGTTAAACACATAAATTGTGAAGGTTACGTTTTGCAAAGAAGAAGTAAAATGTAAATAGTTGTGTTATTAACAGCATTAATGTAAGTTTTCAACAATTAAAAAATAAATTTGTTTTTTAACTTGTGGTTTTATTTTTTTCGCGTGTGTTAAGGTCGGTTTACACCGGAGTGGTTCAAGGACGGTTTAATTAAAGTGAGTGATGTTTTACATATTAATACGAAACGAGCATGTGGTCGTAGTGATGATGTCACGGCGGCAGGTGTGGCAAAATGTCACCTACATTTTTACTTAGAAACTAAAGGAGAAAAAAGTTTTGGTAAAGTGTTTTGGTATGAAAGAAAATGTAACTTGTTAAAGTTTTTATCGTTGGTGCTTTGTGGTCAAGTTCACTTCGATATAAAAAAGCTTTGGTAGTTGTTTGGTATTACAAACAATTCAGTTACTCAATAAAAACAGTCAAAGTCACGATTACGAAACAGTATAATACAAATAATAAATAAAGAAGTGTTGACTTTGATTGTAGGTCAAATCTTAAAATATGAAGACATATTTGGAGAAAAACGGCGATTTTGCGCAAATATTTTCTCGTACTATTTATGGCGGGAGTATTAAGCAACAAAAATTTATTGAATTGAATTGATATTGATAGCATACAAAATCCACAAGCAATGTATTTTATACCACAGAATTTGTGGTCGTGTTGCCAGTTATTTTATTATGTATTTATTAAATACCTGTTAAAATTAAAATTTCTCGTTTTAAAATTCTGTTTTTCCATCATCTAAAATACTAATAACTTTCAAGAATTTCCAGATAAGACTACCGTATTCCAATTTAGTTCTTACTATTGCATAATAAAGAAGAATAATGGTTTTTATATTTGAAAAATTTTTGCAATTTCGGCATATAAAACCGCATGATTTGAATGTACTTTGAACTGCGTGGTTAATATGGTCCACAAACGTAAAAGATTCATCAAAAATGATGCCTAAATCTTTGATCTTTTGATATCTGTTTAGAGTGACACCATCGTTCACGTAGGAATACAACAAATAATTTTTTTTTTTAAATACACTTTATTTAGGACACACCATCTAAATAAAGAACATAAATCAACCTGTAAACCTTAACAATCCAGGATTGAATTAATCTTAGGGTATATTTTCAGACCATCTGCAAAGAGTAACTGATCGGTATTAATAAAGTCGAGTAGGTCATTAACAAATAGTAAAAACAAAAGAGGAGCTAAATTTGAACCTTGAGGAATCCCCGAAGTTGGAGTAAAGGGTTCCAGAAATTTCGATACCTCACTGAATGTTGCCGATTAGTCATACATGAATATAACAAACTGGATAGTGATTTAGAAAACCAAGAACTGACAATTTATTTAATAGAACATGGTGATCTATGCGGTCAAAAGCCTTGGCGAAGTCCGTATATATCACATCAACCTGTCCTCTGTTATCGAGAGTTTCCGAAACAAATTGCGTAATACACCCCAAATTCGTTATTGTCGATCTCTGGTTCACAAAATCATGTTGCTAAGGAGAGATAATATGTTTGATAGTTGAACAAGTCTATTATACAGATATGATTCAAAAAATTTTGCAAAGTTGCACAATATAGAAATCGGTGTATAGTTATTTATTTGAGCAGGATGACCTTTTTTAAGAACTGGAGTTACACAAGCTTTCTTCCATATGTTGGGAAATTCATTATTCTTTATTACTAGATTGAATAACATATTTAGAGGAGGTATATTCAGGTATTCCAAAAATAACAACATTCTTTTGTTTTTGTTGCCGTTCAAACACGTCATGAACTATTTCCTCAAATTCTACCGAGTTAGACGAGACAGTTTTCGAGGGAAGGGTACTTCTTAAATTATTGATTTTATTTTGAAAACTTTATCCAATGATGCACCTTTACCCCTTCACTTGGCAATGAAATAAAAAAGTCTAATATTGTTGTTAAATTTTATATGCGATATACGTTAGGAATAGCATGTAGCTGATGAAACGCTAATCAAAATATGTCTAACCATCCCCACCAACAATCTACAAAATAATACATATACGCTAGTGCTTGTGGTTTATGAATCCACCTTCTTTAAAACTACATAAAACGAAATTCGACAAACGAATAAAACTGATTTTGGCAAATGACATACCCTTTAAGAAATAAATAATAGTTTAAAAAACTAAAAAAACACGCTTTTATTGCTAATCGAACTAAAAACTAGAAATTAATTTTTAATGACAGAGTTTAATATTACAGTAGTAGAAGATCAAACAATCAATCATAATAAATCACCTCAAATTAAAATTATAATAAAATTTAAGTTATTAACAGAATAATTCAATTCAGAGTAAAAAGCGTGGGGTGCATTTTACTGCGGTTCATAACTATCCTCTCATAGATAGTTGCCAATAGAATGATTGTAATATTTAAAATATCAAGCACCCCACGCTTTTTACTCTGAATTGAATTATTCTGTTAATAACTTAAATTTTGTTATAATTTTAATTTGAGGTGATTTATTATGATTGATTGTTTGATCTTCTACTACTGTAATATTAAACTCTGTCATTAAAAATTATTTTCTAGTTTTTAGTTCGATTAGCAATAAAAGCGTGTTTTTTTAGTTTTTTAAACTATTATTTATTTTTCATTTTTTAGTCTGCGACAAATTCATAAATTGGGGAATTAATTACTTATTTAGATTTTTCTAGAAAGAACCACTCAGTGATCTCCGTATGATCGATCAACGGGAATTAGTTCGAAATCAATCGCCCTCACGAACCAACGGGACACAATTCATCATTGTGGTTAGTTTTACCCCCCAAATAGTTAATTTTCCTCCATGTTTGTATTTCTGAATCACAATTTGTTATCTTTATTTAAGTTGGTGAGAATTCATGATTAGATATGTTTTAATTATAATAATTATAATTCCTTCTTTACCGACTGTAAAACCAAAGCTATGCAGAAATTGTCCTTGAAACAGAAATAATCGGTATAGATCGGTATAATCGACACGGAGAGAGATAACCGTGGTATATACTGACACAATTAAGATGCGATCAGCCATTTTATTTGCACACGTTTAGTTAATTAAAAGTCCGTTCTCGTTTTTTTCATTTAATATCCGTTATTTGTATTTTAATCAAGACTATAATTACAACGAAGAGTAAACCAGATACTACAGGCATGCGCAGATCGCGCGCTAGCTTTATCTCTTTTACTCCACTACACAGGATCCATAAAAGAATTTATAAATCCTGGCGGTCCTAATAAGGATAATGGGAAACTGTTATCAAATTATTGCATTGTCATCGATCCCTGAGACGTGTGCAAAGTTTCAAGATGATCAGACTTTTAGAAACCGATGAAAATTAAGCTCAAAGATTCCGTTACATACATACATAGATACATACAACCCAAGCTAATAAAAGCGTGATAAAAAGAGGGAAGGTGGGTGGGGCTAGTAGCTGCGAAAGTAAGACCGATTTTGGCAAATGATATCCTCTAAGAAAAGAGAGGGAGGGTGGGCGGGGCTAGGACTGGTTAAGACTGATTTTGGCAAATGAGATTACCCTCTAAAAAAAGAGAGGGTGGGTGGGCGGGGCTAGTAGCTGTTAAGTAAAACTAATTTTGGCAAATGACATCCTCTAAGAAATGAGGGAGAGAGGGCGGACGGGGCTATGAGCTGTTAAGACAAAAAAGATTTGGGCAATTGAAATACTCTCCAAGAAAAAAGAGAGCGGGTGGTTGGGGCTAATATCTGCTCCGATAAAAGTGATTTCGGCAAATGATATACACTTAAAAAAAAAGAGGGAGGGTTGGCGGGGCTAATAACTGCTAAAATAAGACCTGTTTTGGCAAATGACATACCCTCTAAGAAAAGAGAGGGCAGGTGGGTGGGGCTACTACCTGCTAAGTTATGACTGATTTTGGCAAATGATATACCCTCTAAGAAAAGAGAGGGTGGGTGGGCGGGGCTAGTACCTGTGAGATAAGACTGATTTTGGCTAATGAGATATCCTCTAAAAAAAGAGAGGGCGGGTGGGCTAGTATCTGTTTGTTAAGAAAAAACTGCCCACCCTCCTTCTTTTTTCGTAAATGGTATGTCATTTGCCAAAATCAGTTTTATCGGAGCAGATACTAGCCCCACCCACCCGCCCTCTCTTTTCCTGTAAGGTATCTCATTAGCCAAAATCAGTTTTATTTTAGCAGCTACTAGCCCCACCCACCAGTCCTCTCTTTTCTTGCAAGGTATCTCATTAGCCAAAATCAGTTTTATTTTAGCAGCTACTAGCCCCGCCCACCCACCCTCACTCTCTTTTCTTAGAGGATGTCATTCAGTCTTAACAAGTACTAGCCCCGCCCACCCACCCTTTCTTTTCGTAGAGGGTATCTCATTAGCCAAAATCAGTTTTATCTTAGCAGCTACTAGCCCTGCCCCTCTCTTTTCCTAGAAGATATGTCATTTGCCAAAATCAGTCTTAACTGATTACAAGCCCCGCCCGCCCACTCTACTGCTTACTCGCTTAATTTTATCAAGTTATTACAAAAACAACACAACCATATCTTTGTATATTCTAACTGAAATGGTAACTAATATGGTCATGGGCGAGAGAAATAATACTAACTAAAAGTTTTATTACTAGTTATTGTGATAATGAATGTGTTGTTAAACGTAGCAAAAGAACCAATTTTAAAATCATTATAACATAACTCGATCAAAATGTGAGAAGGATTTTTTTTAACTGTTTTCCTAGATTCAGCAGTCGATTGTTAAGGGCGTAGCGGAGAGTAGTCCGTCATTTTCCAGACACCCGGTATAAAATTTAGAAAAAAATTTCTGGGGATTATATTCATTAAAATTTTTTTGGCCATTTTGCATCAGTTTTTGGACAAACTCGTATAGAAGTGACTTATGCCTTACTTCCTTTTAGACATGTTGACTACCTTATTTTTCTTTAAAAAAATATCTTCACTATTATTGGCCAGTTTAATTTTTTTTAATAGAATTCTCTGAATGTGTGATGGTACTTTTCTTCTATTGCAAATGAAAGTCCCGGATTTCAACAGTGAGGGAAGTTCTGTCTAAATAATC